TTCATCACTTATCATTTTAGCTGTTACTGGCTGTCGCTCCTTGTTGCACTTGAGGAGGTAACGTAGCGCGCATGGGCGTGTTTCCAAGGAAGTCCGAGCAGCGCCATTTGATAGCAAAGTGTCGGGAATACTTCGTTTCACACGACGTGCTTGCCAACGGCGGCATCAAGTTTCAAAATACTACTGATTTAGTAAAGAATATATATCCTTTGGAAACAGGCGTTCTTGCCTGTTTCCAAAGGGTATCTATTCTTTCCTAAATCAGTAGTACGCTCTCTTCAAGTAACGTCAAGGTTCACTACATTGAAAATACCTGATGTGCGCTCCTATCCGTTTAGTACTCTTTGAGACGTGTTATGAGTTTACATATCAGTGTGATTTACTGCATTTGCACGTGATGATAATCCAAGAAAAAAATTGGGGACATATTTTTCAGGATCTGTTGGTTGGATTCCTCTCCATTACGACACTAATTCATTTTTGACTTTTACTTGCAAGCATCCTCACCACCGCTCAATAGCTTCGGCTCAGTAAGTCACCTTCTTTCCAGCGACTTAAAAGATTCTCACCTTAGACAACGTAGCGGCAGCGCGGCCAGTTCCACCCATCAGGGTAACAGGGAGGACGGGGACGGCAACGTGGCCAGATCCAAGATCCAGGGACACACCAGTAGCGGCAACGAGGCCAGGGGAAGCAGCGGCCACCATTGAACTCAGTGGTGCCGCTCATGGTGTTCGTATTGTCGCCAGTCATATAGCCTCCTCCACGCTGTGTGACAGGCTGCTCTGGTTGTTCTGGCTGCTCCGGTTGCTCTGGCTGTTGGGGTTGCTGGTCATCTCCTTACAAATGGCGGAGGTGAGCTTTTAAGCATTGGCAAAAAGTTAAACCAAATGTGTTAGAGACGAGAAGACACTGACCCTAATTTTCGGACACTCTTACCCGGCGCAGCAACCTCGAGGCCATGCACAGTAGCGGCAACCGCGAGCACCAACAGCAGTAGCAGTCCGAACGGCTGCATCGTAAAGGTAGCACTTG